CTGACAGAATCTCAGAGCTTCTGGGTTGCTGAGCACTGTTAAGTAGTAGGAGGGTAATGCACTGAGAGTGGTGGAAATCTACCGTCACATTGTCCCAGCATCCCAAGCCTTTACCTGTGCATCTTTTCCATTTGGCTGATCTTAATTTGTATGCAGTGTAATAAACAGGTGAATGTAAGTAAGGTGTTTATGGAAATGTCCATTTTGTAGCTAAATGTGACAAAATTTGTGGGATTACCACTTGGTTTTGTAGGTGTATGGGGGAAGTTTGTGAGAATGAGTCCTGTGGAGCCTGTCCTACCTCTGGGCAGTTAAGTGTCAGAAACGAGTTAAATTATAGATCCAGCAGACTTTGGAAAATTTGGTGGGAAAGTTCTGTGAAATGTGTAAATGCATAGAAGAAATGCAGTTTACTGCTTCCACATAGCAAGTAAGGGCCTTTCAGGAATCTTCTCAGACAGGATAGCTGTGGGCTTGGTTTTAAAAGGAATCATATGTTAATTCAAGATAAAGATTTAAAACAGAACCAAATAAAAGCACCATACGTCCAAAAAATAGCTAATCAATAAAAATATTGATTAGAAAAGTTCAGAACCAAAAGTTTTCATAAAAGATTATACAGAGTCAGGAATAGTGATTTAAGACTGTAATCCCAGTACTCAGGAGGCTGAAGCAGGAGGATCATGAGTTCAAGGCCAGCCTGGACTATGCAGAAAGGTAGTCTAAAAGAAAAATACATGGAAATACATGAACTAGCTGTCTGCTGAATGACTTAGAAAAGCCACCACAAAGTCAGAGTAGAAAAGAAGCTGTGGCTTGAATGAGCCCCAAGGACATCACGCAAAGTCAAAGAAGTCAATCGGCACCAGACAAACTCTGTGGTTGCTCTTACATGAAGCTCCTAGAGCAGTCATGTTCACATAGATAGAAGGCAGACTGGTGGTTTCTAGGGAGATGAGGCCGGGGAAATGGAGAGCTAGTGTGAATAGTGAGAAGTTCCATCTTGGGAAGATGGAAAGTGCTAGAGGTAGAGGGTGGTGATGGCTGCACAATAACATGAATGAACTTGCTGCCACTGAACTGGACACTTAAAAATGGTTAAGATGGTGATGTTCTTTACCATAATAAAAATGTAGTTAAATATGAAAAACAAGAACAGTGGACAGAATGGCCACAAGCTTGTCAGCAGCAAAAACCTAAATTTAGGAAGGCTGGGAGATGGCTCAGACAGTAAAGTACTTGGTTACCTAGCTTGAGCATCTGAGTTTAATTTCCAGGGCTTGGCAGGTAGACATGGGTATACTCCAGGTTCAACATTAGCTCCTGTCTCAAAAACTGAAGTTCAGAGTGGCTGAGGACACCCAACACTAATCTCTGGACTCCACACACATGGGCATACATATCAACGCACACACAACCACCACACACACTGTGGTGGATAACTTCAGTTATCAACTTAGCATACCTGGGAAGAAGGAACCTCATCTGGGCATTTCTTCTATTGGACTGGCCTGTGGCCCTATCTGTTAGGTATTTTAATTTCTAATTGGTATGGGAGAGCCCAGCTCATTGTAAACAGGTTCTACCCCTAGGCAGGTGGTCCTAGGTTGGCTGTATAAAAAAGCAGTCTGAGTTTCCATGTTAATCACCATCTACTGCATAAGGAAACCTCTCTGGTGAGAGGTGAAAGATGCATTCATCTTATGTGCACAGTTTGCATTGAAAATGAGTCACTTAGGACTAAGTGTCTCACAGACAATTTCTCTGCATTTGACCAGTTGTGTTAGTCTCCATCTGTTACAATAAATGGTGAGAAGTACATTTATCTGTAGATGTGAGGATGCATATTTAGAATACAGTAAGATTAGTTTAGTGGCAAAAGTAAGTTTTTCTCTAGGATCCATGACCTCTCTAGCTATGTGTATTTGGCTTTGTTTACAGTAACACACATAAGTTCCCTCTCATTGAGCAGGCCTTAATTCTAATTAGACAGCTGTTGCTTACTCCAAAGATAAAAGTGCTACTACTGAATCAATAAGAAATCCAAACATAAGGAACATTTGGCAACTGATGGTTGCTGGGAAGTAGAGAGATATTCCCTTACAGGGATGAGACTCATGGTAGATTGGACCCATGCAGAGAGACATGTGGAGACATAAATCAGATTCCATAGGCCTTATTGTATATATAGTACAGTACTCAAAATTGGGCAGGGACAGTGGGGGAGGTGTGGATGAGGGAAGGAATCTAAATACCACCAAATTATATTGTATGAAAAAATCACAAAATTTCAATTTTTTTTTAACAAAGCAGGCTAAGTATAGGCCAGGGGAACAAGACAGTAAGCAATGTTCCTCCATAATCTTTGCTTCAGTTCCTGCCTCGAGGTTCCTACCTTGAGTTCCTATCTGACTTTCCTCAAAGACAATTTGTGCCTTAGAAGTGAATGATTAAATAAACTCTTTCCTCCCCAAGTGCCTTGGGTCATGGTGTTTTATCACAGCAACAGCGAACAAACTAAAACACACACCAAACTAAATTTATGAAAGGCAGCTAATTTAAAATGATACAGTGAAGAGACATAAAAGAAAGGGTGAAGACTTGACCAGATATAAATGTAGACCTGTAGATGGTTTCCCATTCCTGTTATTTTTACAGTGGGTTATGCTGATGATGTAGGGGAAGCACAAAGAGTTTCAGAGAGACAACCTGTCGACATCAGGAAGAGGACCAGCACCTTGGCCATACCTTCTCCAGCTCGTAAGCTACTTACCACATTAGAAAGTCAAAACCATCAAAAAAGAATTAGCAATGGAACCTGTTGGGTTGACCTCCATGAAACTGTGACCATGGTCTAGAGAAGATTGGGGACGATTTGTGTAAGAACAAGGGAATGAAAGTTAATTTATGCAAGAAAGTTTCACGTCTTAAGATTTGCACCTCAAGAGGGTTGGTGAAAGCATCTGAGGGTCTTTCCAACTGTCCTCCTTTTGGGATGAGCAGCTACAGCTAGCACAACCCTACTGTCTTGCTGGTTTGCTTCAGGGATTCCATAACTTAGGGAAATTAGGAATTTATGTCTTGGGCTGAGAGAAGGCTGCACCTACAGTGACTGTGTGGCTTGCATAGTCCTGTCTCCTGCCGTCACTAGGAAGAGCTGAGTTAGCTCAGGGGCAAATAGGACCCATCAGCCGAGTTCCTAAACTGCTGTCTAAGCATCTGCTATCCAGATACATATGTGTGTATTTGTGTGTGTCAAACCAGTAAGCACAGAAGGAAGAATACAATAAAATGTGGACAAAACTGCCATAAATACAGAGCAAGTCAGAAATCTTAGTGTCTATACTGAAAAGCCACATAACCCTTAAAATGAATATGATTAATTTTACAATGAAATAAGCAACTCAAGCCTGGTGTGACGGTGTATGCCTCTAATCTATTTCCCAGGGAGCAGAGGGAGGAGAATTTTGAGTTCCAGACAAGCCTGGGCTACAGAGAGAGCACCTAAGAAAAAAAATAAGAAGCCTAAAAGTGACACCAAAATTCCTAGATCTAGTCTGCTTCACAGGAGAAATTCAGAAATATAGACAGGTCTCAAACAGTTCTTACAAACTTAAGCATAAAATAACTCTCAAACCAAATAGAATCAACCCTCACCATCTTTAGGACTTGTTCCAGGGTCTCTCATGCACACCAAAATATGAGGATGCTCAAGTCCCAACTATAAAATGGTGTAGTATTTGTATATGACCTATATAATTACTCCCATTTATATTACATCACTTCAAGGTCATTTATGACATCTAATATAATGACATGCACTTTCTATATTGTATTAACAAAGGAATAATGACAAGAAAAGGTCTTTGTGTTCATAGAGATGCAAGTTTCCAGTATTTGTCATCCACAATCGGTACACACAAAAGCAAGCTGTAGAATAATTAATCTTAATTATGAATATTGGTAGCAAAAATCATAAGACAACGTAGGCATAACCTTAGAAATATAATAATGATTTCATTTTAAGGATTCTGTTAACATCATGAAACATTCTTCTAAAGCAGATCACAAATGTTTCTAGTCATTTGTACAGATAAAGAGAAGGTTTTGACAAAAATATACCACCAGTACTTTTCTCAGAGAACAGTAATAGTTGAGGGAATACATGGATGCTTTTTTATTATGATGAAGAAAACACATGTCTTCATACAAGTAAAATTGGGTGAGTTATGAAAACATCCATCAGTGTAAGAATGAGACAAGTATGCTACATGAACCAATTACTGTTCTCACGTACAACTGGATAGAAAAAGAAAGAATGAGAATATTGAGAGCACAGTCAAAAGAGAATCTTAGAAACAATAAGAAATCACAATTATGGTGGCTAACTGTGACCTTAATATACAAAATCCAACTACTTTCCTATACATCCAACTAGAAAACGAAGTGGCATGCTATTCGTTGAAAATGGTAATCAAAACAAGACATCCAGAAATAAACAGCAAGAAATTCGTAGCTAAACAGAACTCTACCAACTGACATAAAATAGATGTTTAGAGAGTTGACGTCCAAAACAAGCAGTCTCAGGCTATTGTAACCCCAATTCATGTAACCCTAACTGAAAAACTAGATGCTTATGACACAGAAAGACAGAGGGAGTAGATGTGAGTGTTGACTTGAAAATATTAATATGAATAAAGCTTTAGAAATTAAAGGCATTGAGGCAGATTAATCAATCAATGGAACAGAAATAGACCCTGCAACTTAAAAAAGCTTAGTTTACACATAAGGTACCCATTTGAACAGTGTGGAGATCATTATTGTACTATTATATAATATACACTTTGTTGTACCACTGACCACCCCTGGAGGAAAACAACTGGATCTTTATCACCATTTCTTCAAATACAATGAGTCCTAAGGAGTCAAAATACAAAAAAGATAAATAAATGAAGCTGTAAGGTTTAGAAGAAAATATGAGTAAGTTTATTTGAAAACTCAGAATGGGGAAGGTCTTTTTAAAAACTGGAGGCCAATCTTGGGTTCAACAAAGGAACACATGAATAAATTTACAACATAAAACTTCAAATTTTCTTTAAGTCAATAAATAAGCAACCAATAAATAACATCAAAAAACAAATGGAAAATAAAAATACTCTCAAGACCTGGAACAGAGAGGCCCTGAGGTACAAAAACAAATTGGGAAAAAGACAAATAACCCAAGAGAAATTTATATAAATGATACAAATTTTACAAAAATTAAATTACCAAAATATATTTGAAAAGAAGTTCAACTTCACATAGTAAAATGAAACTAAAATCAGAATAATTGCATTATCATTTTTATCAGTCAGATAGGGAGGAAAAAAAACTGAAAATATTCAGCACTAGAAAGCTGAGAACCTGGTCCTTCAGTTGTACTGTGGATGGGGTATCTATTGATCCATTCATGGAGGACAATCTGACAGCATATATCAGTCATTTAAACGCATATAGCCTTACATCCATTTTCCAGTACATCCATTTTCTAAACTGGGATTTATACCAAGGTATAGTCATGAAAGTATAGCAAGGGTTATGCACCAGAATGCTAACTATAGACGTGTATAAAAATAAAATTGGAAATTCTGTAACTATGTGCTCATCACTAAAATGCTAATCAATTAAATTTTGGCACACTAATGGAATGGAGCCCTAACGAGTTATTGTGAAGACTGAGGTAGACCTTCATGCCATTATGGAAAGATGTCTAGGACAAAACACTAAGTGCGAAGCACCTTGCATAGCCTGAGTGTTAGATAAACAACACAAGGTCTTTCCATGCCCTTCTCCTTCCCTCTCCAGTTCCCAACCTTCCCCTCTTCCCCTCTAAAAATGTCTCTAAAAATTCATACATGGCCCTCTGTGGAGAAAGAGAAGAGGTAGTGGGACTAAGGAGGCTGTGCTTGATCATACATACTTTCTAGCTATGTGCACAGCTATCCTTTATCATTATTTTCATAAATGACACTATTATTGAGATAGGCAAAACAAAGGCCTGTGATCAATTTTGAACTAACAATAAGAAATGAAGCCTGGTCTTGAGGCATCAAAACACTCTCATTTCTTTCTAGTTACTTCAATCAAAAAATAAAGCAATAGGAAAACATGTATCATTTGTTCATACCATGTATAGCAGATGGATTCTGAAAATGACCCTGCTCCAGATGGTGAATGTTGAAATCAATAAAATGTCCTGATTTATCCACCCCCTTTTTGTACACCCTGTCTCCTGCCTTCAGTCACATGCATATGCTGCATACACACACACATACACACATATGTGCACATACATGCAAAGAACACACAAAACCTTCATCTTCCTCCAGTGAAATGGATGCCTGCAAAAAGGTATGCGATTTCTTTTGCTCTGAGAAATCTAATCTTCCCTCGTGATGTGCCCATCTCAGGAGTTAGAAGAATAATTCAAGGTCTCTGGCAGCTCAGAAGCTTGGTGCAGTTTCAAGCTCTGAGATGTTACTGAATGCAAAACAGAATAGTGTGGTGGTTTGAATGAGAACTGCCCCCCACCCAAACTCCCATATTTGAATACTTGGTCAGTTGGCAGTGCTATCTAGGGAGGGTCATGGAACCTTCAGGAGGTACGGTTTTGGTGAAGGAAGTATGCCACTGGGAGTGGGCTTTGGGAGTTCATTGCCTTCTCCTACTTGCAGTTTTGCTCTCTCTGCTTCCTGTGCTTGCTTGAAGATATAAAAGGTCAGCTTTCTGATCTGGCCACTTCTGCTGCCTTGCCTCCTCCACCATGATGGACTCTTACTCTGCCTGGAACCAAAAGCCAAATAAGCTCTTCCTTCTGTAAGTTGCTGTAGGTCATGGTATTTTATCACAACAAGAAAAGTAACTAATACAAACAGCAAAAGTTTTTCTTGGTGAAGTACCCTCTGAACTCATTCACATTCTTATTTTAAAAACTAAGAGATCACTGTCAGTAAGCATCTAAGTGGAATGTTTTCAAAATTGTTCTTGCCTTCAGAATGTTATCTCTGGCTCTGGATGCTGAGAGAGGAGGATCTCAAGTTTAAGGCCAGGATGGGCTACATAGCAAGACACTATCTCAGACAAACAACAACAGCAAAACCTACACATTTCCAATGAATCCAGACACTGACCCCCAAGCCGGCTTTGCGCCAGAAGCTGAGGAGAAAAAGCCATGGGGAGGCACATTCCCAGAAGCCAAACCCTGTTACTACTACAAGCTAGGCCTACACTGCCTCTTCCCAGCTCCTGCCACACAGGAGCCACAGAGGTCTAATCTGCCTATGCCCAGCCCTGATATAAGGGTGTAAAAGTCATGGGATATGTTCACACAATGGTGTGCATTCGCCTGGATGCATAAACTTTCAAGACTAGTCAACTCTGACACAAGAAGCATCTAACATATTCTTGTTTTCCAAAAACACACAAAAGGGTTTAGCTCAGCTTCAGTAATTCCTTTGGACTGATAATGCTCAGTGCTCTATTTGCCCTTTGAGTTTTGCGTAATACAACATATGCTTAACTACTTAGGCCTAGGGGAAGCATGAAGCTTGGGAGTCACCTGGGATCTACAGGGACCAAAGCCCCCAAATACTTTCAGCAGGGACAGATTCTAGTTCAGAACTTATGCAATCTGTGTACTGATTACATGCAGTACAGATTTACAGAAATCAGCTTGGTCAAAACATTATTTAGAAGGCCAACTTTCTTTCTGGCAAAAAAATTGTCATTAGAAGGCGGAGGGGAGAATTTCAGTTGTAGAAAAACCAGCAGAGAGGTTTTAGTTTAAATTTTTTAGTTTGTTTTTCTTTCACAAACCAGTTGGTAGAATGGGACTCAGAGAGTGTGTCTCAGCAAGATTAGTTTTGGTCTACGTCTGCGCATGGCACAGACACACAGTGAATTCTTGTGTGGTTCTGTGGCAGGGGGCATGCAGGCATGCAAAACCAACTGAACAGGCCTCCACTGAGATTAGAGTACTGAGATCTCCCGGCAGGCCAGTCCTTAGTGGGCAAATGAGCATTAGGATGTGCCAGTGCTACACACCAGAAAGGATAAAGTAAAAGGTGCTGTGATATTTTTAGTGACAGTAACCAGTAAAGTAACCCCCAAGACTGACAGTCACAGGGACACGTCAGAATCATTCCATTTAGCTCAGTATAGCAGGTCAGTTCTTATCCTCCAGACACTTCCCCTATCGGTGCACTTCCCCTATAGAAACATTATGCAAAGTCTTTGGACACAGCCTCCACAAAGTTTGGGGCTGACATGAGGATGCCTATGGTGCAGATGATGGTAAAGACGGAGAAGGCCATGAGGCACAGGCGGTCCACCACGCAGGCAGCGAACTTCCACTCGCTACAGACTACCTCGCTCTCGTCCTGGCAGCGGAAGCGGTTGGCGATGTAGCGGACCTCCTCTAGGATTTTCGCCAGGTCGGGGTCCCCCTCAGCAGAGTGCCCACCATGAAGAAGGTGCTCATCGTGTGTCGGGGAGCAGGCCATGCGTCCACACACGACCCCGGAGTCTGGAGTTGGGGCGCAATGCATACCCTCCAGGCCTCGGAAGCCGATGTAGAGCAGGTTGCCATTACTGGTGGGCGGCCCCGCGCCTCCGCTCAGCTCCACACTGGCCAGGCTGCAGCGGCGAGGCTTGTGCTGGCAGGCTGAGCGGACTTTGTCTTCTCCAGGCCTCTTCATACGCAGGAACCATGCACACCAGTTCAGAAGGATGATCCTGGTCTGCAGAGACAAGAGGAAGTTATGAGCTACCCAGAGTAGGGCATGGGTTGAGCCCTATGGAACTGTGCTACCTAGGTAGCAGCCCAGCTTCATAGATCCTGGGAAGAACAGCTTTCCTTGAATCCTAAGTGATTGTATACAGTAGGACACAGTGGAGTCAAACGCTTATGGAGAATAGAATCTGTTCAGGCTTATTACCCTGGGAAAAGCTAGTTTCAATAGGTAACCCTCTAGAAAGACAGCCTCCTGGGAGGGACAGGCAGCTTGGTAAGCATGCCTGAGATGTGTATGCAAGGAAAGTCATTTTCCTCACTGAGCCTTCCTCTTTATACCCAGGGCCTGCAGCTTGAATTCCCTGGCTTCCCTACAGACTTTAAGGTGTCCCAGAACATCACTACAAACCAAGAGGGGCTCTGGAAGATTTTCAGCATTCAAGGGCAATCCCTGGATATGTCAGACACAAAGTGGACCTCTAGCTTGATGTAGCTCAGCTTCCAACTGTAGATCACCACATCTCTTGTGATGTTGCCATATCTGCAAAATTGGTTTTCAAAGTTGCTCCATTTAAAAAGAATGTACCAGGGGACTCAATGGAAAACAGAAAATGAGGGTGATAGTCTCTAATCTGATCCCAGGAGTGGAGAGAATGTGCTATAGCCAGGGGTGCTAAGCTGTTGAGGCAAAGGCACTCATTAATTTGTTTTAACCTATGCAAATAAAGGGGATGTTGGGCCTCAGAACTCTGCCAAAAAATTGTTGAGATTAATGTTGAAGGACATCTAGGAGTTTCTAATCCAACTATTTAGGCTGCAATGAAGACCACATCAGACCAAGTGTGGGACAGTACTTGAAAAGGCAGAAGCAGGTATTGACATACATCCTGCTACGGGCCAAAGGGTAAACACCTGAGTTGTGTAAGCCAGAAGTGTTCCTTGACAACTATGCCCCCAGCTGGTACGGCACACAGTGAGAGCTTATTGAGAGGGTGAGTATACCTGTTTCCTTAAGAAAAAAATAACTTCTTAAGATAAAGATTTTATGGGGTAGCTTTGGCTGTTGACACTATAGTTTGCCAACCTGGCCCATGGAGATTTTTAAATGTAGTGTCTGGTGTATGCAGAAACTGGAGAAAAGTCATCATGAGCTTTTAAATTGTGTTTGTCTTTCATGGAAAGAAATTGGGGCACCTGACTCTTCAATCTGGGCAACAAGATTCTTAGAGCCACTAAGTGCATAACAGTGAACCCTTTTCTAAATCCCCCTAGATACACAATTCATGTTCACCTTGACATGATCATGGGAAAATTTCCCAAGCTTCCCATCTGTAGTGGGGGAAATGTAAGTTGTGAAGTTCATGTCTACAGGACTTGCTTTCTTAGCAGTCATTCAAATGACACCTTGTCAAAGATGACTGGGAAAGTCAGGTCTGTAAACAGGGAATAAAAAGAACCAGAAAGGCCAAAGTCAAGCTTTGAGTAGCTGTGATGTCTTTCACACAGCACTTCACAGCACCAGTAGCAGTCTGAAGACTTGGGGAAAGCTCATGTATGGGCTAATGTGTTTTCAAGATCAGGAAAAAGCAAACAAGTGGCTGAAGGGAAGCCTTCTCAGGGAGGCTGGACATCTCACTCACTTATTAAGGGGTCCATAAAGTAAGAATAATTCCCCCACTGAAAGATGAACTGAAGCTCAAAGAAGATACTGAATTGGCTCAAGGTCAGTCCCTTACTGTGTTTAGACTTGCAAGCCTCATCTATTAAAGGTGCCCTAAGGTACTCTTCAGAACTCCAGTGACTTAGCCCAACCCTCTCTCAGAAAATACCAAAAGGCCTGGACTATATCTCAAGGGAGGCTGTCAAACTAAGAATGAATCTGAACCCAGAGGCAGCTCTGCACACAAGAGCCAAGCAGGTGCAGGCACCTCCCCTGTTACATGGGGTCTATGCGTATACCCAAGGCACATCTCTGGCTACTATGATCCGCATCACCAAGTCTCCTTTGCATTCCATGGTCTGAATCATTAGTTTTCAAGTCCAGTGCTCTCCAAAGATGAAATTATCCACTTGGCACTTTCTCAAACTGTGCCCATGACCTCTTCTGTTAGGATACAGCTTGTATCCTGGTTGTGCAAATGTCACATAATGCCACTGCACTCTGCAGTATCTTCATAGCATCCCATCATAAAAGAATCCCTCAGAGGCTGTTTATGTTTCATATACACACGGAATAAAGGGGAAACGCAGCATGCTTTATAAAATGAGATGTATACACTTTGTTTTATTTGTAGCCAATCGGTTTTAACAAGCTCTTATGCTGAGTCTTATAATATGCTCTTAATTAAGATTTTTCTGGAAGAAAAAAAGTGGTACCAAGTCTTTAGAATGGATTTGTGTCTCTGTGCTTAGTTCCTTTATCTTTGCACCAGCCAAAATACTTACAAAAAGGAGTATTTTTTTTTTTTGTGCTAGCCTAAACAAACACTGAAAGGAAACAGATAATTCATTACAATTATTACCTGTGTTGGTGGTGAAGAAGCCTTGGGTTAAGAATGGGAGTCATATTTCTTATATAGGATGTTAATTTTATTTTTGCCTTTCTAACAGGTAATACACAATCTGTTTTAAATGAATGGATAGGCAGAAGGCCACAGCAGTAAACAAGGTGCCTGCTCCCAACCTGGCTTGGTTTGCCCCAGAATGTGAGAGTGCTAAGAAAAAGGAGCTGGTAAGCAAATGTAATCTCAGCTTCATGGACTATGAAACAGGCTTTGTGGCTGCATCAATGTCATGTGAGGTGTAACCATTTAGGCTGAGCACATGCTACATCTAGTGCCATGAGCTTTAATTGAGAGTTTATTATGGGCATGAGGAAAGTAGAACCTAAGGGGAACTAGTACCTTTCCTAAGGCAGGCCACTGTAACTTATTGCACATTGGGTGTTCACAAGGCCTGGACAACCTGTGTTCCTACTGAATAGTTGAATGCATTTTTCACCTTATTCTGCATTAAGCATGTGGGTGATTCCTAGATTTCCTTCTGGACTTAGGTGACACTGAATGGGCTCCAGACAGGCTCTCTTTGCGATAGTAAGGGCTGCTTTTCTTATCCTCAGACAGGAAGAATGGGGAGGTCTGCAGGACCCATTGAGGATAGGAGGCAAGGGAAGTTAAATACTTGTGTATTTACTGGATAAACATGTGGCTCTCTGCACCATGAATTCTATTAACCATGTTTGAAAAATATTTAGGGAAAAAACCTGCATCTGTATACATGTACAGATTTTTTCCTTGCACTAATCCCTAAATGATATAATGCAAGAACTATTCACATAGTGTCTACATGGCAGGAAGCTTTGTAAGTTATCTGGAGATGATCTGACACACCCAGGAGGCTGTGCACAGGTTCTGAGCAAATGCTATTCCATTTTCTATAAGGGTCTTCAGCACCTGCAGATGTTTCTGTTTCCTGGGTCATGGAACCAGTGCTCTGCAGATGCTGAGGGATACTCATTCTCGTTCTTATTCAGCCTGCTGTGACGCTCCAACCATGTTTCTACACAGCCATATCCTCTAGTGCTTCCTCTGGCTACACAGCATTACCCAGTAGCCATGTGGAAGAGCAATGTCTCACATACTGTGTTAGCAGATTACACAAAGCAGCCCGTGCCTGTGTGGAGTCCTTCCCTGGGATGTCAGAGTAAAACACTGCCACGGGGTGGACCTGAAGTGCACAGTCACCTCCACTGCCTGCAAAGCTATGCAGAGGGGTAAAGTCAGAGGAAAGATAATTCTGTTTGCTTGGGGCACCAGACAATAGGAAACAGGAAACAACAGGAGGACCTCCTTCAGGGAGAGCTGTTTCTCTTGGGGCAGGGGACATACCCACTTGGGCATTTTGCCACCGTCGGGGTCATGGTGGTGGTACCGCAGTACAATCACTGTTACCACAACAGACAGGCCCACGATGATCATGGTGCTGGCAAAGTACTGTGCTGTGGAGAGAAGAAAGGAAGAATGGAACCCGGATATCCAACTGTACTGACCAGGACCATGTTCTCCTGTCAAGGCCTTGTGAGGTCATATTGGAAAAGAGGTTGCAACCTAATATCCACATTTCTGATAGAGAGGGGAGAGCACAGAACCCAAAGACTTCACTCCCCACCACGAAACAGGAGTGTCAACTCCCAATGAAGCCCTGGTAGAATGCAGTTCTTATCCACTTGACTCACTTGGACGTCCTGCTTCCTGGACTAGAGACAGAGTGCCAGCTACAGCAGTAAGACCTGAAGCCTAACCTGGACAGAGCATCTCTTTCACGATCCTGTTTGTTCCCACCGAGGAAAGTGCTTCGACACAGGACTTCCCTGTTTTTGTCATTCATTTCCAGGCAGAAGGTCATGCACTACATCTCTCCTAGCTAAAGCATATTTGCTCCATTCCTGTTTCTCTAAACAATTATTTTAAAATAAGATACTGATTTATCTCAGGAAACAGCTAGGAATTAAAATATATGCTCCTTCCTAGTTTAATAAAAGATTAATCAAAACACAATGTCCAGCTAAAATAATGACTCTCTTATTATAAAGTCTTTGACTCCAAAGCAAGAATGAATGGGAGAAATATAGGAGGAAGAGTCATTCCAACCTCTCCCTCGCTTTCTCTCATCTCGCCCCCCCACCCATATTTTGAGATGAGGCCTTCTCTGGCTAGTCTTGAACTCTTCTTGGTCTCTGTGATCCTTCGGCCTCAGCATCACAAGCATTGGAACTACAGGTACACCTCAGCATCTGTGAGGACCCGGGGCTGTGGTGTCTCAGAATAGTTACAGCAAGTCATGTTCCCACAACAGAGGATAGAGGAGTATCATACATCTCTATGGCTGTGGAGGACATGTTTCTCCTCCAATGTACCTGCTGGGAAGTCCTACGTACAGTGGAGCCATCGCCTTACCTATCAAGGGCACTGAATCAGATGTAGCAGGCATGATCTCAGCCACAAGCAGCATGAAGACAGTAAGGGAGAGCAAGACTGTTATTCCTGAAACACAAATGTGAGGCGTCTTTTAGAAAGAAAATGAGGCTGAAAGTTCATCTGATTGGGGCTCATAACTGGAGCTACAAAGAACTAGGGAGGTTGCTGGGGCCACACTGTGGGTAACATGGCTTCTATGCACATAGGCATTTTTTCTGGATATTGCTCCTATCACTACCAGAGCCCAGAGGAACTCTGGTGAAGACACATTTAAGAACCACAACTTTGAGAGAATCAACACTGCGGACCTTACTTCAGAAGGTCTTCACTGCATTATTACTGAGAAGCAGTTTTACACAGCAGGATAAGGAAATCATGTGGTCATTCAGGTCTTGACTTTGCAGCTTCATTAGCTCTGTGACCTTGGATAAGCTACTTCACAGTCTAAGCCTTGTACTCAGAAGACACAAGGTTTATGAAGGATTTCTTCAGTATACTAAATATGTATTCTTTGTGATATGAAAAGCCCACTTCACCATTCAAAGTCTCACTTTTCTTATCTTTACAGGAAGTGATTATAAGGAATTGTATTCCTACCGTCATGGCTGAAGCAATTTAGAAATGCAAGCGAATATTCACTTAATGTGTCTCCCATCCACAGTGGAGGCTGACCAGCTGTAACCAAGGAGCAAAGTTGGGTGGCAGTGGGGAAGAAGCACCCATTAGGGCAGACTCCTGCCAAGTTCTCAGGAAGGCACATCTGTCCTACTCAGAGTCAGAATCAGGAGATTTTGGTATTGTAGAATTGACCCAGGCTCCCAGGTCCATGTGTGAGGCACAAAGCAGGCCCTACAGACCCCATTGAATCCCTGCATGGTCTACAATGTCCTGCAGAGCTGGCCTCAAGGATGGGACCTGGACACTTACTGAGGGGCCCTGAACACTTACCAAGGGAGATTTTCTCTCCAGAGTCTGCAGGGAGCAAGAACACCAGCAGGGCTAGAGCAGAGATAAGCACACAGGGAATGAGCAGGTTGAGGCCGTAGTAGAGCGTCCTGCGACGCATGGTCACAGTATAGGTGACATCTGGGTATGGCTCTTTGCAACACTCATAGAACTTTTCATTCCTCTTTCCAGGGATTCCTGCATAGGAGACCAGAGAAAGAAAGCAAGAATCAGAAGACCCAGTTGCTGCTTGTTTCTAAGTATAACCACACCCAAGCACAGTCCTGGAGTTAGCTATGTCCTAAAAAGCTGGGTAATGAGTGTTTGAATAAAGTCTTACTGCTTAGCCATTTAAGGGTATCGCAATGATGTTTGAGTAAATTGGTAGATATTCTTCTGATGCATTGGAAGTACCTATTATGAATTATCAATTTTACACCATTATAAATGCAATTATAAGTAGGTGCCACCTAACAGCGTTTCTGTGAAGGATGGAAGAAATGTACTGTGGCAAGCCAATATCATATCACCCACTGAGTCTGTAGCTGGCTTACTTCATGATTTTCAGAATGTATAACATGTAACACATGAAGAAAACTTTTTAAATTTAAAATGATGGTTCTTATTGACTAAAAGTCAAAATGGCTACAATGAAAGAGGGAAAACAAACCTTCCTGAGACTTGAGATTTGCTGATGGGATAGAGTGCTGTAAAGGTATCATATCAGGGAATGTATCTGCCACAATAAACAGTTTCTCAAAACCTAACACTGCCTTTCAAAGATTGTGCAATACCAGAGTGACCAGTTTGCCTCCTGACCTGCATACTCCAATAGATTTAGGAAACTTATAATTACCCCAATCTGCATGAGTTCCCAGCCACCACACCTGCCTGTCTTGTGTTTCCTCCACCCTGTGCTATGCTATAATACACACTTTTTGCTTTAAAATTCAAAACCTTGCCCCTCCCAGCAGAGTTCTGGTTTGGTGTCTCCCAATGTACAAATTTGTTCTGTGTGAAAATACCACTGTTTTTACTTTTATTTGAACACTACTTATGATTTTCTTCATTAACACCATCAACTGCAACATGCAGTCCAACCATACTTTGGAGATGGAATGGGGCCAAAGAATGTGTGATGCATACCCCAGCCCTGCTGGTTTAGCATGCCCTCACCATGGCTACTGGCTGCATTTGCTAATTGTTTTCTGCTTTTCATCCTGGAGCTCTCAGTACATGATGGAGAATGTTGCCAAGTGCTGTAAACGCTCGCATTGAAAAGGGCAATGGAAAAATCCCTAAGTTCTTCAGCTGCACAGAAAGAAAGTAGCTTTCTTCTAGGATACATGGCCCATGTGATTTTTGGGCTTACCCATGAGGTCCCACTCTCCATTGGGGATATAGCTGCTGATATCTGCCTCCTGCATCTGCAGGTCCAAGGACCATCCTCCATAGGACCAGGACCCAAACTTCAGTTTGCATTGCTGCACGTCAAAGGGGAACCAGCGCACGTCAATGTAGCAGGAGCTCTTGAATATGCCTGTGTGGTCATGGGAAACAATTGGAAGATGGAAATGGAGTCAACTAAGGTAGACTCAAAGCAGACAGGAGTCCTGAAACCTGTCCCTCCCCCAACTATTGTGAGATTCGTCAGAACAAACTGAGGTGGGTTTATTTATTTATTTATTTTTCTTTTGGAAAACCTCTAGAGAAGAAACTCAGCTAAAACTTCATTGTCTTTTGAAATTCAAACAGTTTATAGGCTCTGCTACAGAAGACTTCTTGGTGTTTTCTGTGCACCGAATTAGCTATAAACTCACTTTCCATGAGCACCTTCAGGCTCTAAACATAAGAAAACAATATGAAAATATTAAATTTCAGAGATGTTGATAAAAAGTGATGAAGGGGTTAGAAAGAGAACTGGAAAGAGTTGCGGGGACAGAGAGGTCAGGTAAAGAGGTGGGATAAGGGAGCTATTTTTAGTACCAAGTTGAGAAAACATTTAGTTATCTGGAAATATATGTAGAGTGTAATTTTAAACGGTTCTGATTCTACAGGAAGAATCTGAACCAACAGGTTTAAAATTAAAGAGAATGTTTGGAGACAAGAAAAAATTCCACTGAACCAAGCTAGAATGTCTGTTTGGAAGGGGATATCCCAAAAGGTCATGATGAGGAGACCTAATAAACATATGCTAGACATTTCTGCCTATGCTCTTTTCTGTCCAGAAGCAGCCTGGATTGTACTGAAAAGCACATAAAGTGTCCTAGACCCTATTCATTTCTGGTATTGAACTTAAGCATGGAGGGAGGAAGGAACTAAAGACCCTACTGCACAGCCAAGTTGAGAGAAGGTAATAATTGTGTCTTCAAGGTCCTTAAATACAATCTAAAATTACAGATTGTTGGGGAGCTGCCACAGAAAAATGAGAAGTTCAAAGCCAGCCTGGGTGACTTAGTGATACCCTGACTCAAAATTAAAAGGTAGAAAGAGAGCTAGGGATATAGTTCAGTTGTAGAGGTTTGCTTAGTATGTACAAGGTTCTAAATTCAATTCCCAGTAATGGTGTGTGTGTGTGTGTGTGTGTGTGTGTGTGTGTGTGTTGGTTGGTTGGCTATTTTTAACTATCAACTTGACAAAACTTAAAATCACATGAGAAACTAGTCTTAATGAGGAATTATGTAGATCAGGTTGGTCTGTAGGAGACTGTCTTGATTGTTAATTGTAATTGTTAATTGATGTAGGGAGACCCTGCCCATTGTGGGCTGCACCATTCATGAGGCAGTGAGTCCTGAAACAGTATAAGAGGTGAAAGCTAGCTAAAAGCAAGCAAGCATGGACACTTTTATTCTCTTTCCGCTTGGCTATAATGTATAATGTAATGTGACTAGCTGCTTGCATTCCTGACTTGACTTCCTTGAAATGGTGAACTGTAACTTGAAACTGTAAACTAAAATACAACCCTTTCCTCACCTATGTTGTATTTCAGAGTATATTATCACAGCAACACAAATGAAACTAGAAAATACATATGTATATATGCATATATCCTCATATAACTATATATGTATATAACCGTATATATAATCAAATTGTGTGATTCACACACACATATGATTTACAGAATTAGACATTCACAGGAACCTCAAAGTCACTATTGACACTCTCCTCCCATTGCTAGGTATTGGTGTATATGTGTGATTTTTGTTGGAAAGTTGTATATTATTCCATTTCCATGAAAGAAGACCTTCTGAAGATGTCAGAAGGAGACGGGAAGGGATCAGAGTTATGAGGCTAGCAGTGGGACTAGTGACTGTTAACAGCCATCATGCAAAGGTGATCTTTGTAGGATAATTATGGGGATGTTATAAAACTACTGTGGACTTCACAGCTCTGAAAATTTACTAAAACTCATCTATTCAGGAGCTTCAAATGTGTAATATGTAAATTCTACCTCCATAAAGCTGTTAAAAATAAACACATGAAATGGAGGGTAAAAACACATAATAACCAAGTTTCCATTTCAAAGTTTAAGCCCAAAACTTCTTTTCAGACATGCCTCACTGGAGAGGCAGAGCAGCTTCCCAGAACCCACCCTGCACAACCCCAAGGCGCAGGCAGCTGGGCTACAGCCCAACAATATAAGAGAGGGTCCTAGTCACAGTACAATGAGACTGTTCTGAATAGGCTCCAGAATACTGGGGCAGGGCATGAGGACGGGGTCTCAGGAGCTCCTGCACGGAGACTGAGAGTGTGGCTGCTGCTGAAGCTGGAAACAGCCTTGTCCTTTTGAACAATGTGCAGCACCGATACTATACCTACTAATGGGGACCATTAGCTAAATAGGTTCCCATAACAGAAGCTGTACCTCGCAGCTATGTGAGAAAGAACACAGGTGTGTTGGAAAGCACCACCCAATCTCCAAGGTGCCTGCACTGAGGAGGCAGGGCTGGGTAGACAAGCAGATGATTTAGCACATAAAGCCTGAAAAGCTACACTTCTGCAATCCAAATAAACATGAGCGGGAGGGATCTGTCTCTGCTAGGTTCAATCGCTTATTCATTCATTTATTGACACATGAGCCACCTACAGTTGAGTGATGGATTCTAAGGTGAGCAAACACATATTCTGTTTATAGGATTCTTATCATCTGCTAACAGGATGAGCATTGTAAACAACAGGCAGAGCCAGCTTTGCTGTGTGCTGTGAGATAAGGGGCTAAATGCTAGAGGGGAGTGTGTGTTATGCATATGTGCATACATGTGAAAAGTTGTGTGTGGGGGGGTGCATGTTTTGTGTGTATGTGTGTGTCGTGCATCTGCACTAGTGGCAACAATAAAGTTGTGTTTTACAGATTGCTTGTGAGCAGGAAGTTAAATAAACCAGACAATTACAGTAAGGGAGGAAATCCTTGAAAATATGTTGTAACAAATCTTCTAAATGATAATGAAAACAACTTGGCTATATCTCAAAGGCCATGAAACCACAGTTTCCCAGATTGTAAATTGTTCAGTGAGCACCCATGCCCCCATGAGTCTCACAGAATAATGGAAGGGGAGAAAATCACTCACAGAAAGTTCTTTACCACCAGGAGCTTCAAAAAGAGAGGAAGCATTTTAGAACAAGTCACCAGTGAGTGCTCCCTAGACAGTACTGAGCATCTAACCTGCAAGTGATCTTAAATGCATGAACCTTACTTCCACCATCTTCCCCAGCCATATACTGCATCTGCTGGGATGAGACAGGGGGATGGGGGGGTGTTATCATGGTTGTGGGCAAAAGAGTGTTGTAAATGACACAACAAAGGAAACCAACTTTGATTGCAGATTGGCATGACATTAATAAGAGCATATGCTGGCATTGACCCCCTGGGCTATGACCTCAAGATACCCAGAGTTTGAGACATGTGAGAGCTCTGATGAGAAGGGATCGGAGAATGGGAAGACAACACAGAGCCAGGCCACTCCTCAGGGCAACCACTGGGACTGATGCTCTTATTGCTTAAATTTTCTTATTCAAATGAGATGGACAAAGTAGGTCTTACCTGGAGGGAGATACTGGCAATGCCCAGAAGCATTCACCAAGACATTGGTGTGGAACGTGGCATCAAATCGCTCATCAGCACTAGAAATAAGAAAAGACTTCATGAGACAACACCTCCGGGCCATGAATTTCTGTGTCCTTTCAGCTGTTGTGATTGTGGGTCAAAAACAGCAGCAGCTTTTGAGGAGTTCCTGTTTATACCTGGGCAACCTCATAGCTGCCTAGGAGAGCCAATGTGGCTCATCTGGGAGGTCTTCTCAGAGCACAGCTCGGGAGAGGCTAGTGTCCCTGTTTCATATGTAGTGTGATGATGATCTAGGTTCATTTCTGTTGCTGTGATACAATATCCTTAGAAAAGCAACTTAAGAAAGATTTATTTGTCTTACAATTCCAGGTTATAGTCCATTATTATAGTAAGGAAGTCAGGAAGGAGTCAGTAAAGGTAGGGACTTTAAAGCATCACATCCCCAGTCAAAAACAGAGAGAATAAATGCATAGGTCTTGCTTGCTTGCACTCTCAGCTAGTTTTCACCTCTCTTACACTGCTTAGGACTCCTTACTCAGGGAATGGTGCCACCCACAATGGTTTCATTGAGTCTTCTTATATCAATGAGCAATCAAGACAATCCCCCAGAGCCGTGCCTACAGGACAACCTGATCTAGGTAAAACCTCATTAAGACTCTCTTCCCAGGTGATTCTATATTATATAAAGTTGATGGTTAACACTATCCAGCACAGATGACTTCCATCACAAAGCTCTTAACCAACATGAAACCTGAAGACAACTTAGCAGAACATCAGGAGATGAGAAACTGCATTGTATCTACAGGAGACCAGGAGCAGGTAGCACACAGCCATCATCAACCTTTTGGGGCAAGAAATTTGATCTGTGTGCCCAAAGCGTCTAGTCTTTGGAATAGGGTCACGCATGACTGGGGCTTAACAGACGTTTCTTCAATGACTAAAACCCTAAGTGCAGGATCTGGGTACCAGCAGGGCTCAAGGGGTTCCAGGCAACAGTTAGTGATGACAAGTGGGTGGGTGCATGGCAAATTAAGTGTTTTAGATGAATGCATTCCAGCTGTCTCCCCTGCTTATGTTTAAACCTCCTACAGCCAGTAGTTACAACTTGGATAAAGGAAACGAACGAGAGAGAGAGAGAGAGAGAGAGAGAAAGTCAACCACTAAAACTAAGAGCCTGTGCTATTTTTGGATTTTCTTCATTCAGACACTCTGACATCTGCAGCCTTACTAACAATGCAGGGACTTCCCTCCTGGGATCAGGCAGTTCCTAGAGAAAGTGACCAAGCTTCAAATCCAAATCAAACTGGAGTCACACCTTTACTCCCTGCTCTCACATCCAGGCTCTCACATTCAAGGCCCTCACACCCAAAGGCTGGCACCAGACAGGTAGAAACAGTCTGAGCCTCCCAAGCCTGCTACATTATTTGAACTAGTCAGTGGTAAACTGTTTGCCCTTCTGGCCTGATCCATTCAAAGGAAACTACAGTAAAGACCACTGCCCATATTACCCCTCTCCCATTCCTTCTGTCCCAGGCCCAACACAGTGCTTTCCTGTGTGTCCCTTACAGTATGCTAACACCTCTTACTTTGGGGGAACTGTGAGAACAACACCTTGTTTAATGATAGTCGTTTTCTTGTTCCCACGTCAAACCATGCCTGATTAAAATGAATTCAAGGTAACCTTAAAACACAACTCTATATGTAAATAAAAATAAACTGTGCCGAGTAATCTTGGGTAGGACTGGAGACATGAATCAGTGGGTAATGACTGCGTGCAAGCAGAAGAACCCTATCATCTTCACAAAAAGTGGGGCATGGCTGCTTATGCTCATAATTCCAGCATGTGGCGGTGGGAACAGGGAGAGCCCCAGAGCTCCCTGGTCAACCAAACTAGACCAAAAAGTGAGCTTCCAGGTCAGTGAGAGACCCATTCTCAAGGCACTAAGGCAGAAAATGTAGAGGAAGGCATCCAATGTCCTACCCTGGTTTCCACATGCATGTGCATGGGGTATATGTGCCCCCACACACACACATATGCACACATAAAATAAATAACTAGAAAAGCAGACAGTCAAGGTACTGACTACACACAGCCAAGTTCCGCTCACTCTGACAATCACAGGCCCCAGCTGGAGCTGCCCATGTGGAACAGCCTGCTCTATGCCTGAGGAGATCTCAGTGGAAATTCAGAGTCACAAGGCACCAATGATCCATCTTCACCAGTCACCACACAGTCATGGATAGACATTTTAAAAGACTAAAACAGAAAAGAAATTCATAAAGAGAAATTTTCAAAGAAAAGGATGAAAAACTATTTCTTAAAAAAGTAGTATCCTTCCCCAAATTCAAGAGTACATCGCAAATAGGAAAACAAAGAACAATATGGAAATTAAAGTTATGATTGAAGAAGTAATTTTCTATGAATGGTGGGAGGTTCAGCTGATAAGCATCAAGGATGACAAGTAGGGCAGGAATAATGCACACCACGAAGAACAAGGCCAGCAAAGCTGTGTCATTTATAGGAGCACCACTAGGAGACAACAGTCAGAGTGGGAGGGAGGAAACCACTGAAGAAATCACACAAAGGAATTTTCTATAGCAAAAAGAAACCATTCAAGCATGATGGCCCAGAAAGGTGTTTACAAGATCATGAAGGCCTTAGAGAGCCAGTGTCCCATGCACGTGCCCTTGATCAGCCTTAGAAAAACTGAGCAAGAGAAAAAAAGACTTTTATACTCAACTGGAGAGGGAGAGAGGAGGTCACTGAAATTATCTATGCAGACAGCTAGGAAAGGGTGGAGCCAAATGCAAGAAAGATACTAGATGTCAGTAAGAGGTGGGAATCAAAACAACAGAGGGAAGAAATACTGGAAAACAGCACAGACTTTTATTTTGTTTGAAGGTAGAATTTTGCTATATAGTTCAGTCTGGCCTAGAGCTTGCTATATCACTCAGCCTGGCCACAAACGCTCAGTCCTTCTTCATGCATCTCCCAAGTGCTGAGATTGTGATTCTGTGTCACCACACCTAGGAAACATCATAGATTTGATTTAAGGCACATTTTTTTTAAATCCCACACCAAGAGGCAGTTTTTCTGTTACTACTATCTCCACTGCTCCCTGTGCAGTGAACCAAATGAACCTATATTCTTTTATTAAAAAATCAAAAAGAAATTCAAAGGGGAAATGCACAAGGATGTCAAGATTTGAATATGGAACAAAACTATGGTGATGTTTAAAGGAAGGGAGGGAAGCAATTCATCATGAATGGATTGAGATAGTAAAGGATACTGCCACATCCTTACAATCCAACACCACAGGGAGGAATGGAGGGCAGAAATACTCTTTGCTTGGTTGCATCTGTACCTGACTGAAAATAAGCCACATTATAAAATGGTGCCTGGAATAGCATAGCTAAAATTGCAAACTTCCACACTCGTCTTGGACAGTACGGTGACTTTCCAACTATGTTCTTAGGAACACAGATGATTGAGGATGTGCTTCAGGATTTCTGAAAATATTTTATTTTCTTTTGGCTGTATTTGAAAATGGGTAAAAAAGTCAACCCATACTCAACTCGATACAAAATTTTAGCCCTTCAAAGACAACCAATGTATTCAGCTATGTGGCCCATTTTCCTCTCTTTTTGGTAAAAAAATATATAACTCAAATTTCTCTTCCCATAAATGCATATGTGTTTGAATCTCTTGTAAATGAGTCATCACATAAGATTTCAGCTTGGATGTGCCTTTCTAAGACGTTCATGCTTACAGATTGCACACAGTGAACATGCACTGGAAAGGCCTGTGTTCCTGTGTTTGGATGAACAGTATTCAGCAATCATGGAGTCACACAGGTATGCTGTTGCTGATGACCCAGTGCATCCGCAGAAAGTGTGTTTAAAAGCATACTACAAGTCATAATGTTTTTCCATACTTTAGACTTTAGGTTGTTTTCTGACTTATTTTTATATTTGCAACAAATACCATGGGAATCTGTTAAATCCCTGATTCGATTATTTTTTAAAAAGCAGTTCATAAAAATTTTACCTTCAAGTATTTAGATCAATTTAATTGAAGAGTTTCTCATGACCATAAGAGGAATGGGTCACACACAAGATAAAACACTGTTGCCATTAGCAACAGCATACCTGCATGACTCCATGATTGCTGAATACTGTTCATCCAAACAGAACATTGCCATAGATAGGATTGTGGCATTCAGTTGCTATCAATACCCAGAACAAGTATTCAGGAGGGCAGTCTTATGGTTCCTTCCCACAGGCAAGGTGATTCCATCAACAAATAATACAAAAGTAAGCTCACGTCATAGATTTGTGCTGAGACCACTTTATCTGTTCTAAACATTAAGGCTGGAAAAAAGACAGGCTTGAAAATGAGCCTGTTGAAAAGTGTCTCTCCCTCAGAAACATGAGTGCCCAAAGGTAGTCAACAACTTGGGGGCTACATTATCAGTGCAGGTGACTCAGCCTTTGCTGGTGGGGCTGCCTGATGGCCACCAGAGAACAGCCACCACTATTTGGAGGATGATGCAGCCTCACAGCTACAAATACTGATAACAACAGAGGCCTGGACGATCCACAGGGTTTCATTCGATTCTTCCCTTTGCTTTTGTGTGTATTTGATATGTTTTGTGTTAATTTGAAAATAGATCTACATTTTTTCCCTGATTACTGAAGACACAATATATATGCAGAATTCTTGAGGGCACCAGACCTGACCCCACAGTCTTATCATGAGCTACCCTCCTCTGGCTGCCCCAAACCCCTTCCAGCCAAGGATGACATAAGCCTGAAACTGGAACGCTCTGAACTGTGCACCACCACCTCCACTACAGAAAGGACAGTGAGGGAAATTTAACTGAACTACTCATGATTCAAGTTCTCATCCCCAAGATAATTGGGACTGAACTTAGGACTCTCCCTGATCACATCTCCCGAGATGCCATATAGTGCCTGGTTCTAGTCCCACACAAAGACAGGGTCCTATCCCAGCAGCTTCAGCTCACTCTGTAGCACTGCCCCCCACTGCACAGTG